ATGCCTCGTGTATGATAAGACGACTTTCTACGGGAAACAGAAACATGTAATGGCATCGAAGGACAAAAGGCTCTCTTTTGATTGCACCAGCCATCCAAGCGCCTTATTGTTGTTGGGGCTTGTTCCAGAAATCCAGACTGGCTACTACATCCTCGCCTCCTTCGTCTTCGTAGGCGTACAAAATCTGAGACGGTATTAGCTATCCATTCAATCGGATGATAATGTTTGAAATATGAACACACCTCTCTTGTGGAAGAATGTAACATCCGAATGTTCTTTCCAGTCATGATGTGTATCAGCTCACTCGTCTCAATGTGCCGGATTTCGATGAAATTGGGCTCAAAGGCAAGGATATAAGGGTATGATAGGGCGAACGCATTGGGGTTGCCCTCCCATGAGATCTTCCAATCCGGGCGAGCTCGCCACCCGTTTCGGTTCACGAAGAACGAGAAGTCGCTGTAGTTGAGCAAGAACTCGCCGTTCATACGCTCAATATGAATCGGCTTCACGTTCTCCTTGCGTGCGACAAAATCAAGCGAGGTATCCGCCTGATCCAGAAGGGACTGTGTTTCAGTAGTCTCGAGACTGACTACCTCAAAACCACGAGCGCATCCCACACAGAGAGTTGAGCGGAGGAAATGGATGGATGATGACTCTGCCGGTATGTAATATTCCTAAAACGAAGTAATGAGTTCAACAGCCCCAATGCAATAGTGTAGCAGAATATACAAACCTTGAAGGGCTTCAGAGTATCCTGACCGCTCTGAAACATCTTGCTCACGGCAGATTTCTTCTTGCCCTTTGCCAGGTTGTCCATGGGCTCGTAAACCTTGATAGTCGATGACAGAGCGGAAGTCTTGACAGAGCACACCAAATGCCGTCCAAGCCCAATCCCCGCTTTGAAAAAGTTCGCGTGACCTTGAATCTTCTTTGGTCGCTTTGCCACTGAATTTTGACCCTCCGCAAGCTCGAGCGCCTCCATCGGATAGGACGAGAGTGTTTTGTTCGCTAGCACCAGAAGTAGTTGGTACTCCTCCAAGGTGTCAATTTGAGTGACCTGGCTAGCATCCAGCACCCGTCTCGGCTTGGCAGACTTATCCTTGGGCCAGCGCTCCGAGATGAAAATGCCACTATCAGTGCCATACACCAACTTCCTACCACCATCTGCCAAGAAACGTTAGCAAATCTGCAAAGGCTACTGCGCTAGAGGATAGCATTGGGAGTCGAAACGTACCAACAGGGACAAGGCAATTCACCCGGTTTGCAGACGTGAAGAAATTCGAACACAAAACAGTCTTGTTGTAAAAGTTACTGTTCCGTTCTCTGAGCTTTCTTTGTTGCTCTTCGACCATCTCGATGAATTTCCTTCTTTGTGTTGGCGACGTGGCATAGAGTGTCTGCTCGTAGCCACCCTTGCCTAGATGCCGAAAGGTTATGGGCAACCCATCTTTCGTGCTGGGAGGATTGGCGGCAGGCTTGTTGGAGAGCAAACTGGAGGACGGTCTCTTGGGGACTCCGACCTTGGGAATCACTTCGTCCATTTGTGCGATAACCAACAGTTCGAGTGGGATTGGCTTCCGATAGACACGATATTCCTCGCGCTTGTTGACGACTTTGATTCTCACAAGCAATACTGCATGGTCGAAGAGATACGCAGTTACCTCGGAACTATCTGTTGGAGCCTTCCTGAATGCCATCTTAGTGAGCATTTGACGGTTCTCCTCAGTCAACTTCAGGTCGACGTAATCGCCGGGGTTAAACTTCAGGGCTGAATTCAGCTGCACGAGGTTGAAATGGTTCTCGGCCCTTCCGCTCTCGGCGTTAACCCGCGACAAGAAATCTTTAATGAGTTTGATGGCTTTGGGAATATCTTCTTTGTCTGGATTACCATCGTTCGTGTTTTTCACAACCTGTTCGAGAAGCAACGGATACCTTGCCAGACGAGTGGTGGGCTTGGTCAAGTAGCCGTTCAACTCCAACTTCCGTGACTCCTTGAGCCGTTCAGTCTCTTCGACAAATCTTGCAAAGGCAGGGTTGGATGCCTTCTCCTTCTCAAACTCATATTTACCATAGAGCTGGTTGGCACCATACTTGATGAAAGGGTCAAAGTTGGGTACATGCTGGAGGAATATGTCACCAACAGTCTTCACCACAGGACTTTCCTTTTGTCTGGCGTTGAGCGCTTCACACAAAGCACCATTAACTTTCAAAACTTCCAAGCAGTTGCCGAACACTGTTCGAATGAATTTCTCGCGCCGATGCTCCGGGATGGGGGATTGGTTTGCGTTGCCGGCCGAACGCAAAGGTCTCATCCAGAAATCTCGCAGGTACTCCAGATCCTTGACAAAATCACGTTCCGTGTACATGATCTCAAAAATGATTTCCTGGCGCTTCTTTTCGCGATCGTCGATACTGTCGGAAACTTCCTTGGGAACCATATTAATCCAGAGTTTCTGATTATCATTGTCATCATCGCCGTGAAGGCTGGCCTTCGAGGCAGACGTCCGTAAACCTGGCTGCGGCTTGAGATTCAATCTTGCCTGTTGTTCCAGTCTTCTTGGACACGCAATAKAATAACACAGACTATCGCGCGTGCAAGTGGGCGAGTAACATTCTGTCAAAAGCGTAAAAACTCCATTGACCTCGGAACTCGGCGCCTCTTCCCCCATGGTTTCCTTGAATTGATAGATTTCCCCCGGAGCGTCTCGAAGTCGATGATCATACGTCACATCGTGGAAAAACTTCTGCGCATCGAGCGCTCGCCCTAGAAGAAGAGCAAGATTTCGATCATTTGTCTTGATGATGTGAGCAATAAGATCCACGGCCTCCGCACCAGAAAACGCATTTTGATAAGACAAGCCGTTCTTCTGTCGTTCTCCAAGCGGAATTCTCTCGCGAAAGACATCAGCGACCCGTGAGAGTAGGGCAGGATACACCAGGGGGACCTTGCTCCGGCGAGAATTGTTGGAAACTAAAGTAGTCTGATTGCTGGGCCTGTGCGTCATCTGGCTCTGCATGCTCATGGTCCGATCCGGCACGATGGTCGACGCCATAGACATAGCGCGGGAATTTGTTGAACCATCACTTGGCGGTCGCGGTCTCCCGTTCACACTATGAGCGCTCGTAGGCTCATCTTCGTACTGATTCGTCGGGGGGTGACTTGGGCCGGATGGCTGCCTCCTTGTAGGGATCACCCGACCTGTCTGAGTGGTGTGAGAATGGTCGCGATCCATGGAGTAGGAGGTCAGTGACATTGCACGTTCATTCGCATGCCTCACTGGCACCACACGTCCTTGATCGGTTACCGGAGTCGTCGAGCTATACGGTTGTTGACGAAACGCGCTTGCAGAAGTGTGATTGAAACTGCTGGGTGGCGGCTGCTGATACGTCGCCGGGCCACCCATTCGCGCCATTGACCTTGATCGATATGCATCCGAATTCAGAGCTGGGGGAGGCATAGGCCGACTGTATCCCTTGGCATCTGGATACTGTGGACCAGGAGTGGGTCGCGAATCTAACCGTTGGGGCTGGGGATAGACATAACGCCCAGGATACGGTCGCGGAGGATTGTGGGATGATTGTTGAGGTGTCATAGCTGCGGGCCCTGGGTATGCTTGATAGTGTCCGTTCGGAGCTGCCGGTGTGTAGCCATTCGGTCCCTGACGAGCCGGTTGCGGGGGCGGCCTTTGCATTTGAGGATGTGGCACATGCGACGACATTGTGTGGGCGCGATCTTGCGAAAACTGGGGCGTCTGCGAGTTCATTGTCTGAGAGCGTCCAGGTGGCGGTGCCCCGCCGAATATCTCTGAGAATGCAGCGTCGCGTTGAAAAGAGGAGGCATGTCCGTAAGGCCGGTAGTTCCGGCCCTGTTGGCCACCGAGATCGGCCATCCTATCCCTTTATGCTGTTTTCCGCTTCTACCTCTGAAAGTGTCTGGCTGTGGATATGAGCCAGACCAAAGAGACAGTTCGGTATGGGTGATGTGAAAGTGGTCGTATAAAAACGTTCAAAGCGTCAGGAGGTGATCGTTTTAAGTCGTGGAGAGGTAGAGAGCCGATGTCGTCGGATTACTCCAGAGGCGACAGTTCACAGGGCAAGCGAAAAAGAGAGTGAAAATAAAAGCAAGCAAGAGAAAGAGGGAAAGACTTGACACAAGAATTCCCTCGGACTCTCATTCCTTAATCCGAGTTGGCCCTGTCACAGATTCGAGCCTGGAAAAGGTCTTGAGTGGTGTGTTAACGATCGAAATGCGCTAGGAGCCTTGAGCGCAACCGCAAGCTAGAGCCCCCGCTAATCATAACCTCAGCATTCTCCCTCGGACTAGCCGATCTATCGATGTGAGCAGACTCCTTGGGGGGGTCGGGAGGCAAAATTCAGAAAAAGAACACCAAGCCCTGAACCGGAAGGGATCTCGGGATAGCGAGTGGGAGTGCGTGAGAAAAGAGGGGCGCAGGCGTTAGGGAGGAGAGGTAGTAACAGAAGAGAAGGAAGAGGAGGAGGTGGTGGTGGTCGTAGTGCGTGCCGGCGTTGATCGATGTTGCAACAATAACAATAACCAAGAGATATGACAAAGCAATGTATCGAGGACGGGGGAAGATTGATGAAGAACGGGACCGTCTGGAGATGGAAAAGCACGGGGGTTCAATGTTAGTTGGGTTGAGGAACAGGCACATGTTGCCCTTTACCCGGAGTGGCTAAGCCCGGGCGGTGGTGGCTCTGCGGCGATATGAATTACATTACACCTTTAACTACGGTGGCCCGCAGCGAACAACTTGGTCAACCCTCGGTCTGCTAGAGATAGTTCTACTTACGCTACTTACCTACTGTCGGCCGTCACTCGCCTAGGAAGTACATATCGGTCTGATCTACTTTTGTTTGCTCTTGTTTCTCTGGTCGCATTCTTCTTTTCACCGGTCTTGAGCTCAAAGCTCTGCCTCAGTTGCGATTTCTTCCCCCTTTCCTCCCTGCTCTGACGGTTCGTCATCACAAAGATACTCAAAATGGCGGAAAGTGAGCTGGCTCCCAAATTCGCGCCTTTTTTCTCCTTTGTAAGTCTTCCAATATAAATGTTGTGGTGGGATTGCTCCGATTATAGAAACATCTGCTGACTGGAGATCGCAGGCGGGAATCGCATCTGCAGTGAGTTCACCATAACTGCGAATCGATCCTCTACGCTGTACTAACAACCACTCGAAGATGATTTTCGGGTGTACGTCTAAATTCAAATCATGTACGAGATGGTAAAAGATGGGATGAGACACTCACAACGTTACAGCAATGGGAGCGGCGTATGGAACGGCAAAATCTGGGATTGGTATCTCTGGCGTGGGAACGTTTCGGCCGGATTTGATCATGAAGGTTTGCAATTTTCACACTGCGAGGTCCAGAAAACTGTTTCAAGTATAGTTTCTAATTTCTTGACATAGTCCTTGATTCCAGTTGTCATGTCGGGTATCATCGCAGTCTACGGTTTGGTCATTGCAGTTCTCATCGCAGGAGACATGGCACCGCCTCCAACACAGAACATGAGCTTGTTCACGTAGGTCACGCCACATCAAACCCGTGTCGATCGTTCTGTTATTGATATCTGAGACCAGAGGATTTATGCACCTTGCATCCGGGTTATCGGTTGGCCTCGCGGGCGTGGCCGCCGGATATACCATCGGCATCGTTGGTGATGCGGTGAGCAACTTAGCGAAAAACGCTTGTTTCTGACTTTAATGCTAACGTTTTCTCGAGGGTGTTCGTGCTTACATGCAGCAGTCCCGAGTCTACGTTGGGATGATTCTTATCCTCATTTTTGGCGAAGTTCTGGGTCTTTATGGGTTTGTCTTCCCGCCAATGCGGCACCAAAGACATCAATGCTAACTGCTGTCAGCCTAATTGTCGGTCTCATCCTCAACACGAACAGCAAATAAAACCCCCTCCTTCTCCGTGCAACGCTGAATCCTCAGTGATGTGCTTGCAAATCGAACTGCGCCTAGATCGACGTGCATAACTGCGCTGGTACCTAATGGTGTTATATAATTGCGTAGCCGGATGCATGAGTTTCTTGGCTATGCTAAAGGCGCACCAGTGTCTCCTTGTGTCAAGGGACAATTTCTGCGCGTAAGATCTTCTGGCAGCTTCTCCGTATGACTCCTTAGGGCCTTTGTGTACTAGCTCCTACTCCACAGTTCTGGACATGAAGATTTGATATCACACTTAACATGTTTGGCCCCCAAAATACAATGGATATTCAGAGATAGCGTCAGATGTAGTCATAAAACCATGCACTGCAACCGGGGTCTGTCCGATTACGCTAGTGGTGCATGCCGAGTAGTTGACAGGCTGCCCCGCCAGTCGGTAACGTCAGAGCCTTGGTGCTCCGTGAACGCCGCCGTGGACCATGCTCCTTGGTTCCGGAGCCAGAAAAAACGAACTTCAGCAAAAGCTCTTGTCCGCCTCCCATGAAGGATTAATCAAGGCTCCCTTGCTTTATTGAGCATTTTTACAAGTCATTTAACGATTGATCTTCCGATTTCTGCCTGCTTCGGCCAGTAGCCTTCGAAATTGCAGTTCGTCACAATCAGCAGCTCCTGCGGCGTTCTTTTCTACCCCCCACATCCGTTCCCCGCTGTCCTCGAGACATGATCTCTTGCCATCCCAATGGCTACAGGAAAGGCCGAGCCTTCGACACATAGTGAGATTCAGAGCTCCTCTCCGTCCTCCAGAGGGGTGGACACTCCTTTGGAAAACGTTCATGAAAGAGAAAAGCAGATGGTTGCTTCTCTCCGACCCCCTCATCAGAGATCAGTGAATCCTTTTGTCATTAAAGATCGGCCGGAGGAAAAGCAGTTGGGGATATCAACTCGGAGCCTTCGTATTACTGATTTTTCACTAATCAAAACACTTGGTACTGGTAAGTCTTGACCCGAGTGGCGGGGTCTGCAGTGCGCGATGTTGACACCGCTGGGGTGCATCCAGGTACATTTGCACGAGTGTGGCTGGCGAGATTCAAGGACGAAACTATCCGACGGGACAATGTGTATGCGCTAAAGGTTTTACGCAAGGCAGATGGTGAGGATGCATGAGAAAGCTTCTATCCTCATCTTTAACCGGGCTGACTGGCGAGCGATTTTGGGACTACAGTGATCAAGTTGAAGCAAGTGGAGCATGTGCGCAATGAGCGAAAAGCACTTGCTGCGGTTGCCGGTCACCCTTTTATCACGACCCTGATTGCGACATTTTCCGATGAGCAGAGCCTATATATGCTGGTATGCAAGCCACCGCGTCTTGTGAAGAGCGGACCTTCCCATGCACTGCCTTCTGCTGGACCTTGTCGCCGTCGTATTTTATTGGTATCCTCGACTGACCTTCTTTCTACATAGCTGGACTACTGCCCCGGAGGTGAGATCTTCAGCTATCTTCGACGTGCGCGGCGATTCAACGAAAACACGTCGAGGTTCTATGCCGCCGAGATCACCCTAACGATCGAGTACCTCCATGATGTCGAGGGCGTCGTTTACCGTGATCTGAAGCCAGAAAACATACTCTTGGACGCTGACGGGCATATTAAGCTCGTCGACTTCGGATTCGCGAAGCAGATCAACGATCGCGAGACATACACTTTATGCGGCACTCCGGAATACCTCGCTCCTGAGGTCATCCACAACAGTGGGCATGGCCTCGCAGTGGACTGGTGGGCTCTCGGGATCCTCATCTACGAGTTTTTGGTTGGGCAGCCCCCGTTTTGGGATCAGAACCCGATGCGCATCTACGAACAGATCGTTGAGGGCCGCTTGCGTTTTCCTTCGAGCATGTCGCCCGCAGCCCAGAACATCATATCATGTCTTTGCAAGACCAATCCAAGTGAGCGGCTTGGACACATATCAGGTGGCTCTGCGAGAGTCAAAGCGCACCCGTTCTTTGAGGAGATCAATTGGGATGACTTGTTCCACCGGCGCATGAAAGGGCCCATCATCCCGCGAGTTGACCATCCCGCAGATACCGGAAACTTCGAGGACTACCCTGACGAAGATGTGAGGGGTCAGGTCATTTACACCGATGACATGAAGAAAAAGTACGAAGCTCTGTTCAGCGACTTCTAAGCCGGCGATCTCGATTCGGGATACCGATCTCCCCCCTTTGATACGTATTCAACATGAGAATCATTGTAAACAGTCGGGATGTCCGCCACGACCGTTTACGCTGATATGGAACGCTCCTGCCACGACGTTACGAATTTTTTGTATTATCGTTCTGCGACGAAAGTTCATAAGGCCTGCTGCTGCCCACCGATCCACCAATCCATACAACTATATATATATAAAGAGACAGAGCAATGCTGTCTTCATTTGTCGATTGATATGTCAAGGTTATTGATGACGGCAAACCCGTCMTTTTCTTTTTCTCCTCTGCATGTGTCATGATGTACAATGCAATCTGCCATCATTTGTCTACATAATATATATCTCATATCTCTCGTTGGGACTTCGTCAACTTGGTTTCCATGTCTGTCTGTCACATCAGCTGGCCTATGTCTCCTGATTTCGGGAATGTAATACCCACAGACTTATGAAGGCGGGATGAGTGAGGAATTCAACGTACTGGGCGGGTTGAATATATAGCTACCTGTAATTGCGGCTTCTTGTACATGCAACCATTCCTCTAACGATCTCTACCATTGAATGCACCGCAGAAATACGAGAACAATTAGCTCATTCTTCTGATTACATAATATATTTCATTTGATGTATATGCAACGTATGCTTTGTTCATGAATATTAGAGTACCGGCCAAGCAGTTAGCTTGCTACCGAAATGAATCACGGGTGGTCAATGCCATGCCGTCATCCAGTCAAATTAACATGATAAGGAGAGTGTCACCAAATACTTGAGCACTTATCCTTGTCCTAGATGGCACACATATGCTGCCCGATAAAAGTGACAGGCAGCGCTGTGGGTCGGAGTTGGCTGTACATTCACATGCCACACCTCCAGTTCGAATCTGTACTGCGTTCAAGAGACTTTCAAAGCTTGATATGCATGCATCCAAACGGTAAGATGCGACAACTGTGCCGGATTGAGAGCACTTGAACGACGTCTTCACCGTTGAGAGGAGGCGCATTAATGTACTGTTGATGAAAAGCACTGCCCAGATATGTTCATAGTGGACTCGAGTCTTGGTAGGTACCGAAGTGATACCGGGTCCAGCGCAGGGCACTTGCTGTGGCTTCCGTACGTGCTTCACTCGGGACCAGGAGCCGGGGCGGAGAGTTCTGCTTGTCCACAGGCCTGACAAGTCTCAGGCAGGGATGGTTGTAACCAATGACATGATCATGCCGCGGAGCCGATGTTTAGAGAGCCGGGTCTGTCTTCCATGATCCTAATGAATAAAGTCAGCCAAGCGTGTCTCTAGCGCATCAACATGCGAGGAAAACGTACCACTAAAGTCGTGTTTGACAAACGCCATAGGGTCATCCAGATCGCCCGCTCCCATCTGACCAACACCCGGACTGAAACTGGTAATCGGTAGGACCACGACGTCACCGACCTTTTTTAAGTCCCGTTGGTTGGTGAAATCCTCATATGTGACGTTATGAGTCGACCCCGGTTCGATGCTGAAGTACTCCGGGTCGTTGAAGTATCTGAACACCGCATCCGTCCAGGCAGCGGGCCCAGTGAACTCCATGATAGTCTTATCCATCTTCCCTTCCTTGAGAATCCCTTTCTCCTTCATTCGCAGCGCGTCCTCGGTAATGTATGCGACGATATCGCGGAGGATCGGATGCCCGGGCTTAGCCTGGATAGTCCACTGGCAAAATTGGATCCGGCGCGAATACCAGTCGTGCCAATCAGGCCGGTCGGGGTCGGCCTCTATTCCGATCACGAAACCGACCGTGGCAAGGTCCAGCTCCCCAGGCAGCCAGTCGGCGGCGGGCTTGAGCGCGTAGGTATCGATGTCACTGTAGATGCCTCCACGGGCCAGCAGAATTAAGTACCGAAAGAAATCAGCTTTTAGGACGGGCAAGGGCATCGAATCGTATGCCTCGAACACCTCCGGGACCGAGCCGTAGAGGTACTTGACGAGATGTCGCTGAGTGTCGTCCGGAATCACTTCATGGACAAACCCGGGGTGCAATTCTGTCCAACTCGCTTCAGCGGGGCGAAGATCTTCGGCGAACCACATGGATGCTGGTGTGTACTTCCATGTCTGCCAGATGTATGCGGGGAATCTGCTTTCGAGATCGTAGGGGAATTGGTAACGGAGTCGTTCGCGCAAGGGGGCAGTGGACGGTGGCTTCAACGGCTGCTGTTGTATATCCTGTTTCTGACTCGTGGTATGTTCATCTGCTGCTTGATGGGCGTCGTAGACAGTCGCTTCCGTGTCGAGAGCGGCGGGTTCGGTGGATGACGAGGAATGTACGGATCGAAGGAGGACAACAAATGTAATCAGGACGACGGCCGCAATTAGCGACTTTCTGAAGGTGAGCATTGTTGCGCGGAAAAAACCACCGTAGCGCGACGGAAATCGATTGGATAGATGAGCTGTGAAGATAGATCTAGATCTCCTCCAGGGGGTCGCCACGAGCTTCCCCACAGGCTCCGCAAATGACCAATGCAGGAGCTGAGTATTCGGATAGGGAGGAGAGGAAAGATCCGAGATCGACTCAGTTCAGTGCCTGACGGCGGCCAGACATATCTGCACCTATTATGGGACAGTATGGAGGATTGAGAGGTTTGTGCGAGGGGGCTTGCGCAATCAGATTCGGTACACTCGGAGACAACGGGAGTGGAAGAGAGCCCCGAAGTATTCGTCACTCTCAGGATTGAATGAGGTCACTGACAGCAACCAGCAAACTCACACAAAGAGTTGAACACAATGTACAACTAAGCAGAAGAATATGTGCAGATCAAAGAAGGGGGAAAAAACGGAA